ACCCGGGCCCTGTGTCTCACGGTGCAACTCACGCCGTTAGCTTCAACGTGGAGGCAGTGAGTAGGCAATGATCAAGCTCCTGGTTGCAGGTTCAACTCGGTAATTCACCAGTTAAACCCTTGCCGTGCGATTGAGGTTCTTAGGGACGCTCTGGACTCCACATATATACGTCCGGCGGGAAATTAACTATTGTCAGGTTGCCTACGTTCTCGGCGGTACTCACGTCGTTAGCCGAACTGTGTAGGCAGTGAGGAGACGGTATGTGGGCTCCGAACCGCCCGGACCTTAGTTCTGGGCAAACGGGAGGGACTCGGCGTTTCGGCGCATGTGAGTGGCGCGTAGTCATACGAAGATATTGACTCCGGTACTAGCCTGGATAGCTAGGAGCTCTGAGCTCTGAGCTGGCAGTGTTACCCGACCCGGGCATTGTCTGGGGAGGTTACCGTGAGGGAAAAGTGGGTTCCGGTCGGATATCAGCCTGCTGACGCACTGTTGCGGCGGCGCGGGTGCGGATAAGAGCTAAAGCTCAGGTGGCCACCCTGGGGATGTTTTCCCTCCCATAGAACATGTACTGTTTGGGAGTTTAGCTCACACTAGGAATCCACTCTTGTTAACAGTTGGGTTCATGGATTCAGCGTGGAAGGGGCCAAAACACATGAGGAACTTTGCCGCCCGGACGCAGTGTTTGGCGTGAAAGAACTCCAGCACTAACACGGACAGCTGGTAAGCCTCAAGATGGCAAGACGGTCCCACACAGAATATTCGTAGATGTTCACATCACATTAACATCACATCATTAACATCACTGTTAATTGGACTCTATATTTTTTATGAATTACAAAAATATTTATTTTACTTCACATTTATTTATTGTTTTGCTGCTGGCTTGGACCACGCGTTTATGCACTCTGCATTACCTGCATTTACTGGGGCTCACAAACACTATATCGGGCGGCATGTGGATGTAATTTTTGATCCGGTGATCAGAATTTCGCAGGATCCGATTTTTATTCTCCATGGATGCTATCTCTGGGGGTATGAAAAATGAAATGACGACAATAGAGGGGTGAGAGGAGAGCATATACATAGAAACACAAATAAACCCATGCCTAAGGTGAGGCTCGATCCCGCTAGGTTCTCGTCCGATACCGCTACGATACTACTGCCTAAGTGATCTCGTCCATATCAAGGGTCATGTTTTTTTTATCTCTATTGTGTTTAGATCATTTAAAGATATGGTATATTATTTTGGTATTGTGGTGAGCTTTCGTTGGCATTTACAATGAAATAATTATATGAGCCATCATTGCCAACAATATTGTTTATTACAATAGCAGCTTTCAATGGCTTATCCATTATCAACAGTTTTCTGCTGTATGGAAGCCACCAAACGACTACCAGTAGTCGACAACCTGCAATCGACTACCATGCAGTCGTTTTATGGCTTCCATTGGCGGAAAACTGATGATGATGGATAAGACATCGAAAAATGCTATTGTAATAAACAATACTGTTGGCAATCACTCACACAATTATTTCATTGCACACGAAAATTACATTATTTTATCACTTAATAATATTGACAATTCTCTTACGAAATCTATTTTCCATGACTATTTGTGTGTGTGGACGAGTGTGCGAAAGAGAGTGTGTGCGTAAGAGAGAGGAAGAGAGTATGTGCGTGAGAGAGAGAGAGAGGAAGAGAGAGTTTGTGTGTATCATTTGCCCTATTACGAGCCAGCGTGCTCGCGGCATTCGCCTTGGTGAATATACGCCACTCGCTCCGTGGATCCAACCGCTCAACGAACTCTCCCACCGCACGCAACCGCTGCACATTATGTAATCTTCCTGCAAAATAGATTTACGGTGTAATCCGTGGCGTGGCGTGGCATAGCGTATGTACAAAGTCGATTCGCGACAGATATTCCTCTTCTCTTTGACTCTCTTTTCGTCATTAATAATCTCACCTCGTAGCTCCATTGTGACATTTACAATTCCGGATGTAAGAGAATGCAGACTGTAATTGAAAAGGATTTCAGGTATGGATATTTTCAAAGCGTACTCGATCCACTGACCTCTGCGCTGCTGACAATACGCTTGCTTTCAGTCTGTACAAACCGTCGTTTACATCTTTAGTTACGAAATGCCCATGATCTAGTCATTTGTTCCCGGCAAAGGCTGTATTTTATCATTTTAGAAATAGTCCACATGGGCACTCAATACTACAGGTTTCCAATATGTGTTGTTATGTACTGACGCGTCGACTATTTTAATATTTATTATCACTGAGCGAATACGAGATCTGATTATAAATGGAATTATTAACTTTCCAGGGCACTTGTATGTGAGGATTTAATAGCCGGTGTACTGCCTCTTAAAGCAACGAGTTAACTGCATTCAAATCTCGGTAAACGCATCTTTTTCCAAATTGAGAAAGGTGGTTTGTGACCGGTAATCCTCATTACCCCATCTTCTATTAAAATTTAAAAAAATTCACATAAAACGTCCAACAAATAATTGACTAATTACTCGTATTACGATTAAAGGAATTATGGAAACAGAATTTTAGAAATCCACTGGACACGTTTGAAGAACAGAGATAACTTATACAAAGGGAAAGAACCCAAACAAATATTAAATAATTATGTTGAATAAAGTAATACAAGCGACATATTCGGACGTAAATACTTCTCCGTTATTTTCACATTTAATTTTTAAACATATTAATGTATATAAATATGTTCAATATTGTAACAATAGCAGTGATTCCCGTGAGAAATATTTGACATTTTTCGCATTACGACAAAACGTGTTAATTCTGAATATAAAATACTCCTGTTGGAAAACAAATGTTACAGTGGAAATTCGAAATTAAAGAGAAATAAATGAATATACTAACAGAAGCTGTGTTAATTTGAACTCAGAGCAGTCAAAGTTTGCTTTGATTGAAATAATTCATTGATATTAATTTAATAATGGGAATCTTTCACACAACGAAATGTCTTTTCCCCTAAAAATCTAGGTGGATGGTAGGGTTTTAGAATTGTATCTCTCTTTCATTCTGCAGAATAAGAGAACCGATCACCGCTGATTAACGTTGGCACTCCTATTTTTATAATACTGGAATTAGAACATTCAAAATGGGCGTGGACAATTAGTTTTTCCAAGATAATAACTACTCAACAGATCGCGTTCTTGTTCTGATTCTTACAATCGATCAGTGTGTTTGAGCTTCGTAACTTTAATTGGTATCAAATGACGCCTTCAAAATACACACGCTAATAGTCCACAAATGGAATTTTATTTAATGAACTCCTATAATTTAGTACGGAGTGTTACTCTTTACCTGACTGTTCAAATTTTCAACTTTGCTCTTTCTGCAACTTTCTTCTCTCGTCACAGAAATAGAATGTGAATTTGTTAAATCATCCAGAATTTTTTAAAATTTGAATGTTCTAATAATAATAATAATAATAATAATAATAATAATAATAATAATGTCTTTATTAATGGCGAGGCTCAGGCCATAGGGCCTGCTCTTCCGCCTAACCACAAATTGTTCTAATCAGCAGCATACATTTTTACGAGCACCATTGCTTCAGTATAATCATTGCTTAGATTTTATGTCCAGAAAATTATTTTTTTTATTTCGATGCTTTCCTAATTTTCTTGGTTTAGAGTTTCATTGAAGTGTTCCTAAAACCACGCTATTGCTGTTAAAACTGCACGTACTTTCTCGCCCATACTTTCACGCAAAAGTACAAGAAAAATACGAAAATTTTCGAAAAATGCTACATGGACTTATTATTAAAAAATCTATCTTTATGAAACAGATTTCATTGAGGGAAAGAAATCGTTATCTTCATAATTGTAGGAAGACGCTGAAACATATTGAGGTTTTACAAATTTCGAAACATCAGAGTTTTAACGAACATGAGACCTGCGCCATTCTCTTAAACGTTCATCACACTATTCAACAACAAAATTGAATAGAAAACGATGGAGCCATTTTGTTGAAAACTTGGAAAATGTCCCAGAGACTTCATGTAAAGTACCCCGCAAATTAAAAGATTAGTTTCAAAGAATTGTAATGCCATCTAGAATGATTGAAGAATATCAATTTTGAAGAAAATTAACTGAAAGGTGTAGCCGCTAGCGTTGTTCCCACACGTACGGACGGACAGCCAAACAGACTTTGGCCGACACTATAATTTTTCTACGAAAGACTCGCAAAATAAGGATTCTGGCTACACCATGTGATAGAGGATAATTTTTTCTAAATTTAGCATAAGAATTTATTCACCTTTTTGCTACCACGGCCCTGTAAATATAGTTTTTCTGCCCAAAATGCGCCGTTTTTTTCGCGTAGCATTACGTAACTTTCATTCAACTGCGTAAGCGGTAGCAAGAAAGTAAAAATAAAATATAAATTTTTCTTTTAGGGCACGTACTACTCGCGCAAGTTTTCTTGATACACGAGCTCCCTGGTCCTCATCCAGCGCTGAATAGCACGGAACGTTGAGATACTTAGGTTCTACTCGGAACGGCACGTACCAATTTACAATGCTGGCAACAACCACCTCGTACTTTCAAAACAATGGTAGCATTTCTCGTGGCATGCTTTGGCGAATTAAGTTCATGCTCGCAGTTGGTACGCCCTTTTAAGCCGGAACGTAGCTAGAGCCCTCTCCCCACACTCCTCGCAGTGGAATATCAAGAAAACTTGCGCGTTTAGTACGTATATCGTTCAAACTTAACCTACTTTCCGTTATGCTGAGGAATGCCTAGAAGTTGCCAGAAGATTACATCTGCTTACAGTAGTAAATATTATCGAAACCCGTTTATTACCTTTTTATTAACAATTATATAAAATAAAATTTTAATTAACTTGTAAAGTATTTGTAAATCCCCCTTATATCTCTTTCTTTTGATATCGGGTTTGTTACTACTGTTTAGATACGGCTGCCTTAAAACGCGTGAATACTTCAGGAATAATATACGTCACTTCGTGAACATTCTTGAAGGTCGAAGTCTTTATTCTCCAAGCATAGTCTACAAATAACAAATTATAAAAAAAATCATTCAATGTAGTAAATTAATAAGTACTTTTCCCGACATATAAAACGTGTAACAAGTATTTACATGTTGCTACTATAAAAGTAATAATGTATACGTTCGACAGTTCCTGTTTTACTTGAGGTAAATGCTATTTTCAATAAAATTTATATAAAAAAATCTTTGGCATGAGAAATCTCTACGAAATTCTGTCGATAGTCGGAATCGTATGGTACCATCATCCTACGTTGACTCTCGAACAAAAAATCGTGACTGCCGTGCCTCTTCACAAATAGAGCCCTTGCAGGCGGCTCTGCCTGCCCCACGCTGCCCCCGTCGCCACGGGGTCTCTAATAAGCCCTGTTTTAATTAACTGTGGTCTTTCAAAGGGCGCCCCTGCACTCGCTAAAACTGTCGCAGCCCCAGCATTGACGCGGGACGACGCTGTGGCCATCGAAATCACCATCACGTTGTGTCCTATTCACACAGTCACACCTACGTGTTTGCACCTCATTCTTCACCGCGATTGGCTCATCGCGATCACCTTTACCAATAATGTTCTTGGAGGATTCTAAGGAAACTGTCCCTCGAAATTACACGCTAGATTTTCTAAGAATTAAAAAATAGAATTAGACCTAAAATGAACAAGATTAATCTGGCTCATGGGAAGAAAATCATTTTTAAGCATCGCAAAGACATTAATTGTCAACAAAGCAATATTAAAACCAGTCTGGACTATCACATACAACCTCAAAATTTTAACGTTGAAATACTACAACGCTTCAAGTCAATAGCGTTAAGAAAATATGTAAATGTTCCATGGTACGTAACGAACGCAACTATACACAAATACTTACACATCCCAAAATAAAAGAAGAAATCAACAAGATCAGTGCAAAATACCTTCAACGACTACATAACCATCCCGATCAACTATCTACTTACAACTTATCAACCCTATCAACTTACTAGACAGTAGAGATACCATCAGACGACTTAAACGACATCACACTTTAGAAATCCCATATCGGCTGTAAATTGATTATTCTATGTTGTATATTATTCTATGTTTCTTATTGTATCTATTTATTGTTAACTACTATTAATGTAGTAATATTAGTGGAGTATGGTCAAAGAACTCTACTCCTCTCGTTTGCTAATAAGCAATAGTTTATGAAATTTAGCCAAATGTTTCGTCGCAAACAAATTGCAAAATAAAAAATTAGAAACAAAAGGTTTTCTGCATTGCTTGTTTAGTGTTTCCGAGCGCAACCACTACACGGGTCGCAATATGTGGTACTGAAGAGGGCGGTATTCTCCGCTTGGAACGTGGGATCCTTCACATCGGCCAGCAGATTCTTCCCTGGTAGGTCCCACAGTGCGCAATCGCTTCTGCCGCCACAAGATCTAGCTCAGCTCTCGAGTGGTCTACAGATATGTGTGTTACCCTGATGCATCTGAGAAATTATCCTGGAATTAGTCGGCGAAAGCACGGAAAGCTACCCCTAGAGCAGTTAGCCGGTAGCATTCTTCTCCAAACAGAGTCTGAATTGCTCATAATATCAGTGATACATTTATAAATAGTTTACATTTTCTCTAGTAACGTTTTTCATTGTCAGATCGGCAGTCTCCATAACATCAAACATTGCCGACCAGTGATTTCCTATTAAGTAGGCCGGTAAATTTGTGTTACCGTATTGGAGTCAAATATGGAAGAAATACGAATTACAAACAATTAAGTCTCATTACACAATACTTTTGCTATATTCGAAACAAGAGCCACCATCATTGGCATTTCAAGTACCTCCACAATTTATTATATCCCTTCCAGTAGCATTATCCTCATTTCCATCCAGGAATTTGCATCATAGGCTTCATGTTAATTCTTTGTCCTCGTCTTACGGAAGAGCTTGAATGGGTCTCAAATTCACACGAAGACTACACTTTCTGTTGAGGAAAAAGATTTTGTCTTGTGCAATACAAAAATATATATTGTGAACTCCGCAGCTCTTGGAGCCTGAATTTCTAGAAATGTACCTTGGAATATTCCACACCAAACACAATATTCTTCAATGCAAATTAATTACTCTCTTTAAGCGCTTATACAATTATCCATAATATGAAACCATTTAAGATATAATGTTAGACTATTTGGATATGTATTCCAACCTTTGGCATTTATTTTTGTATTGGAGCAGACGTATGACTTATGGGCTTGTCGACTGTAAACATTTCCTAACATAAAGAATGACTTTAGTGAATAGCTTTCTTTTATGAAGATAACCACATTTTTTCTTGGCCTTTCTCACGAATAAATATTATAATTCTCTCATGTATTTGAACACATGTACGTAAGCAAAAATATCCGCAAGAAACCAACAGAGCCGGTTTGTAATGAAAGTATGTTGTAACTATTAAATGTAAATATTTCAGAGAAGAGTAAATTAGCTCTAACAACCTTTCAGTCAACGAATTTAAATCACAAGAATTGTTCGCCTCAGGCATTGTGTTGGCCAGCATCGCAAGCCGATAACATTATAACGATATAACATTGAAGATGGTGAGGTCACTGACTCGTTCCCTGGTGGGTGGCGGTTTACTCGGCGAGTTAAAAATTACATAGTTCGTGTCGGGGTTAGTGGTCTGTGAATTATAAAGTTGATTTCTCTGTTTAGAAGTTTCGTGGTTTTCCTGATCACTTTCATACTAATGTCAGAAGAGCACTGTATTCAATGGAATTCAAACCCTACGAATTCTTTCTTCTCTCTCTTGTAGCCTTCCCACCCTTAAAGCTCATTGAAGGGATGATCATTGTATTCATCACAATGTCAACTTTGTTTTTGGTAAAAAGAAAGTGGTGAATACAAGAACACGGTGTTTCTAACTGTATTACATACATATGTATATAAGCTTTCTCATTATAACCCTCTATTAGATTTTGTCTTTTTTTCAAAACACGAGATATTTTACAAACTGCACATTTTTTAGAAAATGACTTTTCCCAGATGCAAAAGTTCGCTTCGTGAAGAATATAATTTTGCTTTTAGTTCATGGAGGTGAATCCTGGAATCAAAAAAATTATATTTTTGTTCGTGCATAACCGTATCTGTGTTTTCATGTACAAAATCTAATTAACAAGCAAATAATGTATTTTTAGTCTCTTTATTTTTAAAAACTGTTTCGCTTGGCAATATTTACCATTGCAAAAGAAAAATCATGTTACGTAATTCAAAAAGAGGACGTTAGTATCATTTAATTTCTTTTGAGTTCAAATCGCAAACATGAATAGGTTGCCTGAAACAGTGATCTGTTCGACACAATACTTTTATCAGAAACGTATGTGCAATGCTCTGGGTAATTTTTCAAAAAAAAAAAGACATGAACTAGAAAGAAGAATGCAAGTCTAATCACCGAACTTCCAATTACGAAACGAACACGAAACAGACAAAGAAAGAGTTAACAATACACACACGTATCTGTCGCTTCAATACAGCATTTCAGCGAGCGACTTTATTGAGCTGGAAAACAAAGCGCTGGACACTGGCTTCGGATCCGGGCGGTGGAACACGCATGAACCGTCACAGGGGCGTCGAAAACGATTCCGAGAGCCGGTTCCGGTCGGGAACCGACTCGCTAGCTCCCCTCCCCCCCCCCGCCCACGCGTCTGCGACACTGATAACCTTTCATCACGTGGGAGGGCGCGCCAACGCCCCACAGCAATTACGCGCTCAGCCCGACTGCTAGCCGCGTCGGCGTCAGTGGGGATGGCAATGGGAGCAGCAGCGCTGTTGGCGGCGAGGGACGTCAACGAAGAGAAGCAAAGGAGAGATATAGCGAGTCCCCCTGTGCGCAGGCACTGTCAAACAGCACCTAGAGGCAATGTCAAGCGGATTGAGAAAAGGTTTACTGCGATATAAAAGAGACATCCTTGAACGATTTTACGTAAACGTTACAATCGATGACATTCACACGAATAGATGCAAACGAAGTAATAAATGCGGTATAACTAAGCACTTTTATTTGACATGATTTGACATGACGTGCCGCGTCTTCGATTAAGGACATGACGCAGCCGTTGCATGATCCAAATAATATATTAAGAATAAAGCCAAGTTTGAACTTTGTACACCATCCTCTACTCTCGTCGGTGACCTTAGACATGTGAGAAGAAAAAAAATTCTAATGGTTGACAAACTGTTTAGAAACTGAATTTTGAGGCCATATGTACTCAATGTCGTGCACATTTAATCCTTGATCACTCTTTTGTGCTTTAGCAGGCTCATCTGTGATGATGGGATGGCATTGTAATGCGGTTTATCAATGATCAGGCTCATCTGGCACATCTGTGATGTTGTGATGACAATGCCCTTCGGTCATCATGATGTACATTTTTAGTTTTATAACGAGTATTAAAATTAATTGAAAGCTATATACAAGTAATTTTGTGTTTATTTGTATCTCTTATACTAGATTCATGATTAGTAAAGCATCTTTCGCATGTGACCTATATTCTATACTCGAAGATACTGATTTGTAATGATTACAAGTCAAATAGTAAAACATGAAGTGGAAAAAGATATTTAAATAGAAACTAGTGCTCCTATGGAATAGCACCGACTTTCCCGTGTTACTTTTATATTTCCTTTGATCTTTCCTAGTTATTCGGATTTGCCACATGCGTTTGCCAGTTGCAATCTAACGCCGCCCGAAGTACATTTAAATTGTTTTCGATTTCCTAATGGGATTATTATTTTAAGGGAATGGGAATGGGATTATTATTTTAAGAAATCTTAACTTACAGTAGTTCTAAGAGCTGTAAAAACCTTACAATGACAATCTAAAGGAAATGAAATAGTGGTGATTGCGAAATGATGTGAGGCGTCAACACAGAACGGAAGAAGATAAGGGGAAAAGAAGAAGAGATTTGATGACGGAAAATGGTACACGTCACGGACAAACAGACAACCTAAAGGAGTAAAGCGGAAAAAGGAGAAGGCAAGCGACGGGCACCAAAGGGAGTTGTGGTCTGGGGGAGGTGGAGGTGGAGGTGGAAGTGGATTCACCCACGTCGACCAGAAGGGCCGCCACACCGCGAGTGGCGGGAGTGGAAGGAGTGGGGGTGGAGGGGGCAGCAGTCATTTCGCTAATAGCTCCCGCGGGCCTCGTGTGCGCCCCACAATACCTACGCAGCTACCTGCGGCCGCGACGCACTTCCGCGTGCACCGCCCGCTTCCGGCCCCGCCATCCCCCTCCCCCGCCCTTCCTGCCTGTTACCCTCCCCCCCACACACGTCTCGCCATCATATTGACCCTTCCCCTTTTCCCTACCCACCCCTCGTCCTGTCTTTTCTTCCTCCACTGCCCCGTTCCTGCTCTTCCCCTCACCCATCCACCTAACCTTTCCCCCTTCCCTGCTCCTCCTGACCGTTCCCCTTCCACCTCACGTCTACACTCTTCCCCGTCCCCTACACTCTCTCTTCGTCTTACCCCTTCCTTCTCACTTGACTCGCTCCCACGCCTACCGTCATGAATCCTGCCCCTACCCCCTCGCACATCCCTTTTTCTGTCCGTTCTCCATTCCACGCCACGTCCCCACCCATTCTCGTGCCCATTTCCCTCCCCCGCTCCTTGTCCTGCCCCTTCGTCCTCCCCTACCGTCTCCGATCATCCTATCTCCTATACACCTGCCCCTCCCTCCTCCCCCGCTCAGTGTAACGTCTACAGCCCAATACTGAAGCCTTAAAACTGTACACGTCCGTCTGACTTCTAAACAATTCATATGTAATATCGTTTATTATTACCACAATAAGCCTTCAAAATATGTTCAATCAACAAAATTATTTTCACAAACGTTTATTATAACTCTCTGCAGTTTAAAAGTTACCTAGTTACGTCTCTTATAAATACTTACTAGATCGTTTTTTAAATTTGAAATCACATAGAAATGTTTTGCTTTTCGTATTTTACAAATCATTTTATACTCAAACAGTATTTTATAATTTTACCATTTCTCTTTACTTGAATACGGAGTAGGCTGCATTAAAGAACTTTTTAAAAAACCGTATTGTGGGGCATTGATTCAGAAAACGTGGATAAATTTTGTTCCAATATGCAGTAAATTACTTGATCTGAAACCAGGATATATGGGTTATTGATACCGAAAGTTTGATGTACGTGAAAAAGTTCGTCGGCCCGTCTGAGAACAACACTAGCAACTAAATTATGTTTTGAATTTTTTCCAAAAAGAATATTTCGCGGTCAATTAGGCCCGGCACAAAACTCTTCAATTTTGAAAATCTTTTTTTTAAATTGTAGGAATACTTTACATCAAACCCCAGCAACATTTTCAAAACTAAAAAATACTTCAATTTCTTGCAAGAACAGAGCGAAATATATTTACAAAGATGACATAGGTTCTATTTTTACTGTTAACTCTGAATGTTCGAATATTGCAAACTTTTTACAACTTCCTACAATTACTATAATGACAATACACTATATAGAAGATGGAACTCTTTCCAATATAATTTTATTCTAAATGGACAGTTCTTTCAATACCTTCATGCGTATATTTTTGAAAATATTACTAGTTACCGAGCAATTTTGATTGAAATATGTCCATTTTTAAAATATATACAAATTAGCAATTTTTTAAAAAATGTTCCATATTTTTCTTTAAAAATTTTAGGAGGGATAGTTTTAAATTAACAATATCAGATGACAGCTGTCTGGATGCATTCTTTTGTTGTTGTTTTTAAATTATACAAATGTCCTTTTCTTGACATCCCTATCATGTCTTTAATATATGCAATACTAGCGATTTGTAAACATTATAGCATTTTTGAGTATATGTGCTTTAAATGATGTCGAATAAAGTTTCTCGAAAACTCAAACGTATTCTGTGAAAATAAACTTGAAATTCCACATTTCAAAAACCCTAACGTAATTGTTTCGAAAACGGCAATTAATTTTTTGTTTAATTTTTTTAACAGATAGTGTTAAATAGTTTAAATAACATGATCAATATACCACACTGATGTATTCTTTTAATGTTTTCTTTCTTTAAAACTACACAAATATATTTTTTAAATACCTTTCACTCGGTTAATATTTACATTACCAGTGATTTTTGTACATTTTTGCATTTGTGAGTAAAAGTGCTTCAAAAGATTACAAATGAAGTACTTTGAAAATTCAAAAGTGTTATGTGAAAAGGCGTGTCTAATTTTGCAGGTAACACAGAAAACCTGGGAACGGAGAGGGTGAGCACAAAATAACGTGGGAAGGGATAGAGTGTGCAACTGAGGGTATAGGGCGGGGATATGTACGGTCAAGTGGAGCGTGGAAGGGCAGATAAGGATGAGTGAGGGGTAGGTGAGGTAAGACGCAGTGGGGGTAGGGCGACGTGACACAACAGACGAATTCATTCCATCCATAGATGAGTGTAATTAATATATCCTCGGGCAACGCAGGGTAATTCATCTAATATAAAGTTAAGATTGCGAGTTTTAATAATAATGAACATAATATTTGTGTAATGAAAAACATTTTAATTATTAATTTGTGAACTCGCAAGTAAAATGTTTCAATGCCTCCTCAAGGTAGAAAGCACAAATGCCTTCAATTATATGTGACTTGTAAACAAATCCTAATGAAGTTTCATAACAGTATTCTAAAATAACCAATACTTCCTTGGACATTCTTGTTGTTCAATAAATGAAAATGACTGCATTACCTATATTACTCATTTCTATTGAAACACTTTCGATGTTGACTAAAAATGAATGTATTAGATTGTATAATTCCACTATTCGCTCACTCATTGTGTATCTACTCGTACTTACTACACAGTTGACGTCATGCGACAAGGCTCCCAAGGGAACTTACTATTAAATATTTGCTATTCTCATGTTGAATTATGGATTTTCTTTTTAAATATTCTTTGTATTTAAAGAACTGTTGAATTTTGATATCCGTATACGCTGTTTTTTGTAAAAAATGCGACACCAAGAAGGAGACAATATATTACAATGAAAAGTATTGCAAATTTAACAATATTACAATATACAAATGGTTAGAATTACAGAACTGTACCTCCCTTTTAACTATGATAATTATGTACGTTGTGAAGACACCACGCGCTGCCATTCAAGCTTCTAGACGTCGTGGCATGGTTTCAAAGAAAGCCTCGACATGTTGCTGCAGGAGTACCGGAGCGAACAAGTTACCGACCGATCATATACCAGACATGTTCCATGAGCGATATGTCAGGCGAATATGTGAGCCAGGGAAGCTATGGTACCCATTGTTCTTCTCAGAAAGCTTGCACATTCCTCGCCACATGACGTCGGGCATTGTCATGCTGAAACATGGGATGTGGAGCTGCTTGCAGGAGGGGCAGTACCTCGAGCTCTAAAACCTCCCTACTGCAGCGGTTGCTGTTCAGATTGAGTCAATACGTATGAGACTAGATCGTATATTGTAGCCAACGGCATCCCAAACCATCACACACACCATCGCTGGCAGATTGCGATCTCCACGGTAGCGACGAACACTTGCTCATCGCTGTGTCACAAATTGAAGCGGAACTCGACTAAAACACTCATTGTATAACTCAGCACACTGGTGAATATATTCACGTACCCATGGCTGTCCTTGTTGCTTTCTGGTCAACGGAAACCGACGCAATGGTATGTGGGACACCTGTCCAATTCTCATGGATCAACGCAGATATGTCCACGCCCGTTGTAAGGCTCCAAAGTCGAGCCAGTACTTTGGACGACGCCGTTCTGACGGTTACGGGTGTGTAAACAAGATGGCCGACATCTCGCACTGTGAGCACATTGTGTGGTCCAGAACCCGATAGTCTTTGGAAACGACCCCCTTCTATTCCTGGTTTCACACAGACATTACTCTCGTGGCAGTGCACCCAGTTCGAGCCGCAATGTCACGGTATTACAAATCCGCTTCCCGGAAAACGATCATTCTGCCCCTTTCGAACTCACTCAGATGCTGATATTGTGCCCTTTGGCATCGACGAGGCATACCGGCAATGGGTTGACACGTATCCACGACCTTCGACGTCTCTACATCGACTTAATGTAGCGTAACACTGACCTGACCTGTGACACAAAGGAGGGCGCTGCTAGGCAAACGGGCAGGCCATTTCTAGGTAAACTTAATCACTTCCAATGGATACATTATTCTACACATCCACCGATAATTAAGGGTTCCCAACCATTCTTTGTGGGTGTTGAAAATTTTAACAAACACTCTTATATGGATGTATTATTGATGATTGTTATTATTACAGTATTGGATTTCTTTGTTTTTTAAGATGCTGCGTGCTATTTTTGGAAATCCATTTTGGATGATGTTTGTGGAATAGTAATTTTGCTGCTGCAAGCTACTAATTTATACCAATTTGTTTTTGTTTTAAAAACCGAGTAAAGTGTCTCTTTCATATTTGAAATATTCACATGGGTAGTATCTATTCTTAACCGTTCCATATCTCTGTTAAAACATCTCGCGTTTTTTACTGTGCACATTTTATTAGAAAAAATAAAACTATCATTACCATTATTTTTTTTATTTTCTATTCGAACTCCTCACAGAGATATTAATTAAGTAAAGTTAGTAAAATAAATCATACAAGACGCGCTGTTTACAAATTAGTTCTATAAGCGTAGTACATGTTTTATCAAGAGAGGTGACAGTGTTCTTCCCCGACTTGTTGCTGAAATGCACGTCGGCTGGAAGAGTTTACCCATAACCAGGTATCTCCCATCAGTGGGGCACCGCCCCATCCGGAACAAGTTGTACGTTCCCGACCTGTCTCACAGAATGTGAGAATGTGTGATAGTGTAATGCATGCAAAAGTGTGTGTAAGTAAAACGGTGAGAATATGATAAGAGAAAATAAGAAAGATCGCGCGTGATTCATGGCGCGTGGCTCATGGCCTGGTATTGAATAAAGAAACCACGTAAAACTATCCATCAGAGCAGCCGGTTTCTAGAATTCTCCTCCAAACAGTGACTGAAGTCGACCTAGCTATTTAGCTAGTAGGGAAAATCCTGCCACTGCCGAGACTCGCTCTTAACTCCTCCCAGTTAGAGGCTCTGCAATGACACCAGTTGATGCTCTGATCCACCACAGCTGTTACGTACTTGAACACCTGATGTAAGTGTTTCGGGGCAGGTGGACAGGGTTGGCAGTAGGAGATGTGTGGTTAAAAATGACGGAGGTGCGGCTTTGAAGCCGACGCTGAGCAACGGACGGATCAAGGGTTGAGTGGAGCAAGAGGGGTTCAGTTGGAAGGGAAAGAATTGGAGTGGCGCAGTGAGGAATGGCGCAGGGCAAGTGGTAGAGCTACGGAGCAGAGGTGAGGCGGGACACGGAGGAAGCCTGGCGGGGAGGGGCAAAGGATGATCGTGGCTGAAGAGGCAGGCAGATGCAACTGGTGGAGCAGTGGAGGCGGGAGAGCGACGAGAGGTAGAGAGGAGTAGTGCGACGGGAGCTTGGCGGAGAGGTGGACGGGGAGCCGCAGGGGAGAGTAGCAGATCGGGAAAAGCGGGGCGGACAGGTGGCGCAGTGAAAAGCGTGGGTCGCGGGA